GCCATAATTCCTAAGGAAGGAACCTGGAGGCAGTTGCAAAATCCCAGAGAATAATCATCGACAAAAGTGAAGATGCCTTTGGAAGAATATAAAGGATAATGACTTTGAGAATGGGCGCCTAGGAAAATCGTAGTGATAACAGAAACACATATATCAGGAAGAGGACAGTATGAGAGCTGCAGAAGAATTTGAGAGTGAGGCTTATTTCCAAGACACTCAAATGAAGAAATCCATCAGGTGACTGGGAATGCAGGTATAGGACTGAGAGAGTGACAGGGACAGATTTATAGATTTAGAAGTCAAGCCGATGACATTGGTGGTTAAAATTCCCATAATCTTGGGGAAAGTACTATGAGTAGGAGAAATGGTAGACACCAGCAAAGCAGAGAAATACGAGGTAAAAGACAAACCAGGAAAATGCACTGCACACAGGCAAAGGGTAGAGTTTCTAAATAAAAAGATGTGGTCAGCACCGTGAAAGGCTTCGCAAAGTTCAAGAGGAATGGGCCTGTGGAAACACCATCGTGCTTTGGCAGTTTGGATGTCTATCCATCTAATGGTTGGATTTCATAATTTATTTTCCATGAAAATCAAATCTAAGTGTATTTTTTCAGTAGAAATAGAATATGGTTCAATAGTGGAAACAGGTTTTAAACAGGAGAAGAAATATACTCTGCTGAGACATCAGGGAAGATATCATGGTATAGAGTCAGATACGCACAGAGGTGGGTAGCAGAATGATTAGGAAATATTTTTCCCCACATGGACCATGTTTTTTCCACACCTTAGTTGAGAGGACAGGAAAAAGGAATTAGGAAGATGAAGAAAGAGTCATCCATTTGGATCAACCGATGAGAGGTGAGGAGGATGCCCCTCAATGAGCAATGGGCCACGGAAGCCTGAGGTCCAGCATGCTTGTGGCTATGTCCACTCAATCATAGGGCTTCTCCTAGCAATGCTTCATGACACAGTGTCAGCACAGGGCACAATCCTGGCCTAAGAAGGAGAGGGAAATTAACAGTCCAGTGTGTTGAAAACAATCTTGCTATTGTTGTTGGTCCTGAATTCTATGTTGGATGACATGAGCGTGGCTTAACTATGGATGATTGGTGAGGATGGTACCCCAAAATAGTCTGGGAGAATAACACGGTGTATGGAAAAAATATGTAGGAGTGCAATCAAAGGACTTCTTAACTTAAATCTCTTTTCTACCTTTTCTTACTAGCTCTGCAAAATTTTTGCAAAAAATCTAACCCATTTGAATCTCCATTTACTAATCAGCAATAAGGACAATAAGTCTTCCCACACAGGTTTATTATGAGAGTTAAATATATTGGGTATATATGAAAGTGCCTGGAACCTGATGTATTCTAAAAAAAATATTAACTGAATTTTAAAATCTATTATGCTAGAGCAGTATACTATCATTTCAAATTTTTGGCTGCTTTGATTGGACAAATTTGTCTCTGCTGTTATAGTTATTTAGTATGCTGTTACACTTGTGTCTTAAAATTTGGAATCTTCCTTTATCCAAAAGTCAGAAGAGATGCTGCTAAAAGGGCAATGACCATAAATGAATTCTTCCCATGATGGCAGATTTTCAGATGAGGTGTTTCTGTAAGCTCAGACTAGCTGAATCTCATTTGGGTCTACAAAACAAAGCATGCCATTGAAAATCCACGGTGAGTCCAGGTTGAACATTATGAGTTAAAGATGCAGTTAAAATATATATGAAGTTAAAATATGCAGATGAGGAGAATATTCCATAGTTGTTATCACTTGTTATTCCCCAAAAGCAGCTTTTCATGTTCTTTGAATGTAACAAAATTATAATGAATACTCATAACTCTCTTAGATCAGTCTTAAAAATAAAACCACCGGGCAAAGGCTCACTTCCTCCACCTGTGATACTGCAGGGGCTTCTCTTGCCTCCCCTGGCCTTGCTCAGGGCAGCTGGAGCTGTGTCCAGGGTCAAGCCTGGAAGCCAAGTCATTAATCTTTCACTCACTCCCAACCCACAGTCCTATGGTATCCTCACTTCTAACCTAATTTGACAAACACCTAATACCTTAAAATGTTGGCCCAATAGTACTTCTTTCACTGGAAATGGATCAAAGGGAATATAATCGATCAAGTAAAGTTGCAGCCAATGGGAAAACAAATCGAAAGCTTGCAACTGTATAAATGGCCTTCCATCTGCCTCAGGAACAGGGATTTGGATGGAAATTGTAGCCTTCTCTGAGCATCTCATAAGTGACACTCATTCACTGCCCTATCCTTGAAAGGTTGGCATTATAGCTAGGTAGGGAGAAATAAACAACCAGAAATCTCAGGAAGGGTCAGGTGGAGTAAAAGAAGGAGAGACATATTTATTGATACTGTTCTTCTCTTACAGGGGTTGGTCCAGCTTAAGCATTGGATTATGTTAAAGAGAAAACCTGCCATTTGGAAGCTTCTGTGGGTTCCATGTGCTTACAGGAGTGAGACACAGAGTAAATGCCCACTCTTTGGCAGAGTGAGTTCATGTGCCCTGAAAATGCCCAGAACGTGAGCAGTGCAGGGGGTGGGAAGTGGACTGCACTGCACATTCCCGGGAACCTGACATTCAAAAGGGGAGGAGAAGGGCCTTGGGAGAAGGAGAAGTCCAAGAAGATAGAGGCACACCTGTGCTTAAGGAAGCCACAGCCTGTGAGAAACCCTCCACAAAGGGAGACTAGCCGATAGTTTACTTTTGTTGTGGGTTCTGCTGTGCCGTCACCCTAAACCTTCAGGAAAAGTCTATTCTATACAGCGGACTTGTGTTGGTGGAACTTTGGAAGAACATAGCAATTGAGTGTGGAGAATGAAATAGGGTAAATATTACAGGAATAGAGGGAAGGCAGCTGTTGTAGGAGGTGAGACGCAGGGAGGTGGTGACAGAGTCAGAGGAAGCAGGACATGAGAGCAAGAGGCGGCCACCATGGCTGGAGGCCCCAAAATGCCAAGGCGGTGGGGACACAGAGGACGGGATCCCTGGGGATGGGGCTGTCAGGTTCCCACCAGCTGTAGGAAAACATGTTAAAGATGAAAGCGCAGGGTGATGCAGAAACCCACACCCGTGGGAACAGCCAGATGGATGATACACAGTTAGATGATTAACTCCTTTCAACTGAAGTTGAAGATTATCTACCTGATATCATAGAATAGTAAGGGACATTGCTCTTGAACTCAGAAGCCTAACTTCTTTTAACTACACTCCACTCTCTTTCCAAGAAATATAGCTAATATTTATTGAGTCCTCGCTATATGGCCAGCTTTGTGCTAGAATGCATCAGGTAGTATTATTATCCTCATTTTATAGCTGAAGAAACTAAAGTTTAGAGAGATTATGTAACTCCGTAAAGTTTCCAGAGCAAACAAAAGGTAGAGCCAGGATTTAATTATATGTTTTTCTAACTCTAAAGTCCCGATTCTTAACTCTTAGCTAGACAGCTTGGCCTGGAATGATATAAACTGAGTTAATGACATAGGTGTTCACCTTCTGACTAACCCCTATTGTGGCTTATTCATATTAACAAATTAATTTATTGACTCTGTAGGGAGGAGGATTGCTACAGATCCTTTTTTTTTAAAAAAAAGCTTTTTTAAAGAAAATCTTTTTTAAGAAAAAGCAATCACCTACCCAATAAGGAAGCAAATTGAAAAGGGTAAGTTATACTGTTCACTTTGACAAGATATTCAGAGAGGAACAGCATCAAACTGAGATGAATTCTAACTTTTTTCAGATGAAACCCAGAATTCCGGAGACGAAAAAGATGACTCACACACAAGAAAGTCTGTTAAAAGCATCTTTTTATTTACTATAAGAATATAATCTGCATTTCTATACAAATCCATCATGCCAAACACATGGTAGGCATTTCACAAGCAGTGCAGAATCTCAACATCTGTACATTTGCTCAGTTACACCATTAGCAAAGATTGAAAAATCACATCTCAGGAGAAAGGAATACAGAAGGTGCCAACTTTCTCCCCCAGGAACATGGCTTCCAATATCATGAAGCACAGCCAAGAAAGCACAGCCACACTGAAGTCTCAATATCTAAGGCTGAACGTATCAAGAGATTGATGAGGAGTATCACTTGAGGAGGCCACTACCCACAGGCCTCCTAGCCGTGGAGCCAAATGGCTCCATGCCACACGCACTAAAGCATCTGTAAGCAAACAGGTAGGAATTGCCTGTTGCGTTGACCTAATGCAGATGGAAAAGACACTCAGCTTGCAGAAGGGTCTTCTTGTCCAGACACCAGGCAGGGAGCTAAGAATTACAATTGCCTCCCCTAACAAAAAGTCACAGTGATTTTTCTTTTTGTAAAGCAATTAAATTTCCCTGAAATAACCTCAAAAAGCACATTATAAATAAACTGCTCAATAGCATGATGGGCACTAAACTCTGGAGCTTGCTCAACTTGAATAACTGCAGTAATTGGAAGCGAACTGTGAGAAATTAGAGGAGAGAATGGGAAACCTTTTACAATCAAGCCTTGAAGGTTGTGGCCATCAAGGAACAAGTAGCTCCTTCTTTGTGGAGCTGCCCTGGAGAGTTTGTCCTGAATGTGAAATGCTCTTAGCTACTGTCATGTACCTGCTACTGTCCAGATGCAGCAATAGCAATCTAAACCTACATTATCACTAATCTTCATGCCAAATGCACAGTGGGTATTATCAATTCCACTTTCTGGTTAGGCAAACCAAGGCTTTAAATAACTATACAATCAGGCCAACAACCTACAATTAGTTTTAGACAGAACAGGATGAAGATCAGAACTGCATGACAACAATCCTAGCTTCTTCGCTGTCTCAGGCTATTTCTAAAGGCATTGAAAGCTATTTCCTTCCCATTTCTGTGATTTTAGTCTCAAAGTAAAAACTGTGGGGAGAGACACAAAAGGGTTAAAGACACCACCGTGAAGACAGGTGCGTTATAAAGCCTTCTAGTCCACCAACAGTGGTCAGTGCAATTGGGATCCCCAAAGGCATTAGATATGTGGTCTGCTGAGATGATCTAAAATTTAACTTAAAGGCATCTCTAAAGTAATGTAGAAAAATCTGGAAATAAGGAATTAAAACTAGGTTCTGCATTTTATACCCACTTGTCCCAGGACCACAAAACCCAACTGACCTCTCCTTGGTGAATCTCAAATCCAGAGTCTTTAAGGTATGATTTTTAGCATCTTCTACTGTGGGTGGAAGTAAGGGATTAGAGGAAAGCTGACAAATGCATTTCCTAAAAAGTCTCAAATTCTTAAAGGTACACTGAGGCTATTGGGTACAAACCATGTGATTAAAAACCAAAAAAGTCTCTCTCTCTCTTTTTTTTTTTTAGCTTGGATCTACTTTGTAAAGCCTGAATTCTGAAATATCCATGAACGGAATTCATCAGTCTTCTCTTCCTGTTAAGATTGTTACAGTCAGAAGCAAAACTTTTGTTTTGAATGCATTCACTTCAAATGTTACCTTTACTTGAATTTTAAATACACCTATTTAAAATTTAAATAGGTACATTTAAAATTGAAACAGATGTTTTTAGAAGTGCATTTCTTAAATATGGTGATTATTAAATCCAGTGTTATTATTGGGGCACTTCAACTTTTAAGGATGAAAAAAGTAGCACTGGGAAGTATTTTATTTTTTGTGAATAGTTTGTACCATTTTAATTTTGGTCCAATTTAGACTTCTAAAGATCTATACCATAAAAGCCACTTGAAACAACCCTCTTACTAGTTTGTTGCTGGAGTCTGGATCGACCTCAAATCCGAAGACTGATGAGTCTATAAAAGAACGACAAAGGGGAAAATCACCAAGGCTTTCATTTTGCCTTAAGTGGAGCCAACCACGATGGTACCTGCCCGCATCCTGCTGTGGCCAATGAGTGCTGGGAGGCACCCAGGTGGGCCTCCTTCTCTCCTCTTCTTTGCCTTGATTTATTTTCTGTTCCAGTTATGTGAGATGTTCTGGATCTTTTTCATTTTGATCCTCTGATCCAGCATCTTGTACCTTGCGGGGTGATCATCAGTTTTCTTTGGAACTGAAGGTGCGTAGGAGCTAGATGCGTACGCAGGACGTTTGAAATGACGTAAAGGAGGCTTGATGACTGGAGGCCATGGAAAGGAAGACAGACAACTGTTAGCCTCACCAGTGACATAGCACAACCTAAATATTGCGAGCAACTTCCCCTTGCCCTGTTTGTTTCCTTCAAAACAAGAAAACACACAAGGTAGCATTCTTACCCGGAACTTCATGGGAGATAGATGAATAAGCAAATCATCACCTTGGTCATTCATTTAAAATAAATAAAGACCCCAGTACGTTATGGTTTTTTGACAATGAGTGGATGGGGTTAAGAAAGTAAGAGGGAACATAGGGGTCACGCTTGGGAACAGCAAAGCAAACAGTGTAAACAGAGCCACATCATTAACGGGAGTAGCATTATATGTAAGCTTTTCATGTTGGAAAGTGATGCTCGATCCTGACGTGCTAAAAAAAAAGCACAACAGTGAGAAAATATTTGCCAAACACATGTAAAGGTCTTCTATCCAAATATAAAAGGAATTCTTAAAATGAAACAAACAATCCGATTTAAAAATGGGCAAAAGATCTTAACAGACTTCTCTCCAAAGAAGATACATATGTCAAATGAGCATAGCAAAATATGCTCAACAATTTTTGTCATTAGGCAATTGCAAATTAAAACAACAATGATATACTACTACATACGTATATAATGCTAAAATCCCCTCCCCCCAAAAAAAAATGACAATACCAATTGCTGGTGAGGATGCAGAGCCACAGGAATCCTCATTCTTGCTGGGAATGAAAAATGGTACAGCCATTTTGGAAGACAGTTTGATAGATTCTTATGAAGCTAGACATAGTCTTACTATACAATGCAGTAACGGTGCTCCTAGATATTTACCCAAGTGATTAAAAAATTATGTCCACATAAAAACCTGCACATGAATTTTTGTAGAAGCTTTATTTGTAAGTGCCAAAAACCAGAAGCAACCAAGATCTCCTTCCATGGTTGAATGGAAAAACAAATTGTAGTATATCTATACAATGGAATATTATTCATTGTGATAAAAAAAAGAAATGAACTACCAAGGCACACAAAGACATGGATGAATGGTAAACACATTGCTAAGTGAAAGAAGTCTGTCTGTAAAGTCTACATACCATATGATTACAGTAAATGACATTCATAAAAGGACAAAACTATAGAGATGATAAAAAGATCAGCAATTTCCAGGGGTTGGAGGGAGAAGTGAGGGCCAAACAGATGAAGCACAGAGGAATTGTAGGGAATTGAAACTATTCCATGCCACACTGGATACTGTAGTAGTAGATATATGACACCACTCATTTATCAACACTCATAGAACTTTATAGCACAAGAAGTGAAACTTAATGTATGCAAATTAAAAAAAAAAAACTATTTAAGAGGTTGGAGGAATCCCAGAATGGAATGCAAACTATTAACAAGACCAATCTAAATGCACTGCAAATGTAGGAAACAACCTCATTGAAGAGGGTAGAGAACTAGAAGCTCACTTAAATAACTTTTCATATGAGTAGAATCTGTAAGACTAAAGGCCAAAAAAACTGTATACAAGCACTGTGTTCTAGTCGACACAGTTATTTCCCATGAAGGTACAGGTTAGCAATTCTAATACCACTTTACATTTATACTGGAATTGAAAAATTATGTAAGTGAAGAGTGGGTGATAAGAACTATTGGTATGGGAGTTTCCAGATAAGCAAAAGGAGTAGGGTAAGATGATCCACGTGGTAATGGGTTAACATTGGAGACATCAATATGAATTCATATTAGCTTAATACAGGTATAGATTATATATAAAAATATTTATAGATATGCTCATATGCCTGAGTTAGCATAAAGATGTATATTTCCTTGCTCTATCAGCTGAAAGGGTTTAGAAGCAATGAATTAGCTACAGACCTAGAAGCTTCAGTGGCAATAAACACATTTTAGTGCCCAGACCTTGGTTTCTAATAGCATTCTCCAACAAAAAACCAGGGCTCCTTATAGAAATGACTGTTTTTAAGACTAGGGAACAAAATATATAAGATGCACCTAGGATATGTGCTCAAATGAAAATGAAAAAGTGTTCAAAAACAAACAAACAAATACAATGATAGACAAAGGATTCCTGAATGAAAGATCTACCAAATGTCCAAAATTGAAACAATTTGAGCAACAAAATAAGTAAGGACATGTTGGATTATAAACCAAAGTGTAAAATAAATATCCATTAGCCCACATTGATATAAATAAATGTCTGAATAAATCAATCATTGTAGGAAAATAGACAGATAATCTTATGCAGAAGAATTACAAATAATTTATGTAGATATCCCTCCCTCAAGGAGGAGGAGCCCTTAGTGTGGGCTGGACAGTGACATCCTTCCAGAAAGTACAGTCTAGAAAAGGGACAAAAGACTAACTTTATAATGGAGAAATGTAATAAACATGACCTCATGAATGAGATCAAGGGTGACATCAATAGCAATAAGTTGTGTCTATAATAGGTACCCTTGATATTATGTGATGAAAATTAATATTTTGTAATGAAAATAGAAGTTTACCTCTGTGGTCTTCCTCTCCAACATATATAACCCTATTCTGATAATGAAAAAAATATATCAAATGAATCCCAGTTGAGGGATATTCTACAAAATTACTGACCAATATTCCTCAAAACTGTCCAGGTCCCCCCAAACAAGGCAAGTCTGAGAAACTGTCACAGCCTAAGGGGAGATGATGACTAATTGCAATGTGTTGTCCTGGATGGGATCCTGGAACACAAAAACGACACTGGGTAACAACTAGGAAAATCTGGATAAAGTATGGACTTCAGATGATAATGAAGTATATCATCTGATCTGCAAACCTATGCAGTCCTGATTGAATGATTCTTCCTCCCTCCACTCCACATCACCCCTGCTTGGTTCTGCTGGAAAGTGGACAGTGAGATAAGGTGAACATGAATAAAGGTGAAAACTAGTTAAATGATGATCCAAAGCAGGTGAGATATGATAATTAGGTAAAGTGTATGGAGAGGCAGAGGGTGCTCACTTGCTGTCATGGGAGGCCACTCCACTCTGGGTCAGCTGGAAGAACCAGAGGTAGGGGACACCTCTGCCAAATCACTGAGGCTGCCCTTGCAAAAAACCAGCTCTGCAAATCTGTTCCAGTAACAGGAAATGCGTGGTGCTCATCATCAAGCCAAAGATTAGAAACATCTTAAATGGACAGTCAAGAAATTGGTTAAATCCTGGGACATCCTTAAAATATTCTACTGTAACACTATGGAAAGATGATATAGATGGCTATGAGCAAAAATAGAGATTCGTGTAATACTGTTAAATGAAGAAAAGCAAAACAGTCCATGTCATCTAATCTCATTACCATAAAATATATAAATATGTGCATAGGAAAATCTGGAAGAATATACATTTCAGTCATAGAATGTTTATCTCTGAGTAGTATAAACATGGCCATTTTATCTCTTTTTGGTTGTTTACACTTTCTGATTTTTCTACAATGACCAAGTTTCAAGTCAAACAGAGTTCTCTTTGGGCTTTTGTACTAGACATCTCAGAGGGCCCATAGCTGAATATACTTTTCTCAGCCAACAGATTACAGAAGAAAAAAGTGTTCAGGTGTAAGTGATGACTATTATTACAAGCTTTTTGATATCCAAGCCAACTTTTGCCTTCTGAGTTATCGTAGCATAAAGTGAAGACTTTCAGCAAATGGCCCTGCTGTGACATAATAATATATATTCTATAATAATATAGAAGAAAATAGGTTTTTTTTTTCTTAAGATCTCAGAGTGCTTAATTCCATTTCTTAGGGTGAACAAGGGATTACGGCACCAAACACTCTAGGAACAAATATAAAAACAGTGCTGTTACCCTGGAGAATGGAGTGAAGACAGGAGAGGGCTTCAGATTAAAAGCTGACTGTTGAGAACGTCTGGGTCGGCTGATTCACTGCTCTTCAAACCACAGTCCCTCTCCACATTCATTCTATTTTCGCTGCTCAGCATGAACTCGGCCAAAGTATTATTGAATTTCCCACTTCTCAGCGTGAAGAAACATTCACCGATTGCTGGAATTCTGATTATCAGAACAAAAACTCTCCTTGCCACTGGAGTCACTGCAAATAGAGTTGAGCCCGCTGACAGAGATCGGCTCCCCACTGAGATTGTGGAAATACTTATATGCCTGCTGTCTCCCTCACTCAAAATGTGGGGAAAAGGAAAATTTCATACAGCGCTGTTTTGTGTGCATGCATTGTCTTTTTCCTCTGCAGTGGAACGTGATTTGAGCACAGGGCACAACAGTAGTGCCAGGCATGAGGGCACCATCTTGAATTTAATGTGGCTTTCTTCTGGGTGCTGGTGTGGCCTCCTGAAGGTGCTTTCGTGTGTTCTCTGGCTATTCCTGAGGCATTGGAAGGGGTCTGACCCTCCTCCTTTCAATGACTGGGTACTTCCCACAGCTGACCCCAACCAGTAATACAAGCTCCTTCCCCTGGTCAAGAAGAAGGAATTGGGAACAGAGCCCCACTCTCACCCATCAGTATGGACCCCTTCCCCTTAGGGACACATTCAGAAGGTCTGCTCTCATCTCTTAGAGCAATTTGCCTGGAGAAAACGATCTCACTAGTTAATGAAGATTTTGACAAAGGTACATACCTATGCACACAGCTTGAACTTGGGAAAGTCATTATCTATATTACTTTAAAATGTGCTCAGAAAAAGAAACATTCAAGACAAAAATTGACACATCACCATCTTTTATTTACAATTCCAAGCAATGTTTGCTTTTCATAAAGTGGATATTCTTTTACGGGTTCTAACTCTCATTTGTTTAACTCTCATCTTTTTCATAAACACCACAAGTCCTCCCAAAGATGTCCATGACTTTCTCCCCTTCCACTGGCACCATCAACCTATCTTTTATTCTCTGTCTCTCTCAGACAATTTTGCTTGGTGGCTACTGTTTTGGTTTGTTTTTTTTTTTTTTTTGCACAAAAAACACCTATACCAAATGATTTTTCTTCAG